CCCCCACCCCCCCAGGCCAGTTCTACCCTGCCCCATCAGTCCTTAGGGGTCAGAATGAACTCAGTGGAAGTAAGTTTGGGTTTTCCTTTCTTCTTCTCCTTCTCCTTTTTCTTTCTTCTTCTTCCCAATCTTCAAATAAGATGATATCCAGAATGAGGTATTGTCTTTCTCTGGGGTCTCATGTTCACCTGGCTCATGACTTTAAGCCCCCATGCCCACTGCTCTGAGAAGCCTACTCACTGCCTCTGACTCATAGCGACCCTGAGGCTAGATCCCCACAGGTGTGGACAGCCTCATCTTTCTCCCAAAGAGCCCCTAGAGGATCCCAACTGCCAACCTTGCAGCTAGCAGCCCACCTCGAGACTCACGAGGCCACGAGGGGGAAGAGCCTGGGGAAATCCCACAGCGAGCTGCTAGCCTGGAGTGCTGATTTCTGAGTCCAGAGCACAGAGGAGAGCCTCGTAAGGGGCCAGCTTGGGTTCTTGCACATGATGTGGAAAGGGAGCCCTTTTTGCACATTGTCTCATTCTATCAACAGATAAAAACGAGTGCCTGTTTGGAGACAGTGTGATCTGTGGGAACCACACGACTTGCCACAACATACCTGGAGGCTTCTATTGCGTTTGTCTCGAAGGCTATCGAGCCACAAACAACAATAAGACGTTCATTCCCAATGATGGCACCTTTTGTACAGGTAACTCAAGACACGGCTCAGAGCTGTGCATGGCAGGGTACTGCCCAGGGCAGGGAGGAGAGAGAGTCCAAAGGGGCAGGCTGGGAGTTAAGGGCAAGCTCTTCTTTAAGAATAACCATGAAGCAATTTTGGCCATGGACTGAGAATTAGCTAATATTAGTGTTAATTTTGTTAGACGGGATAATGGTTTTATAATACATAGGATATATTTCTTATTTTGGAAGATACATGCTGAAGTATTGGGAGGTGTTGTTATGAAGCATGAGGTATTATGTGTAAGGTATATTGATGTAAACAGTAAATATATATATTTTAAAAACCAGGGTCTTCAAAAAGTTTATGGAAAAATGGAATCAAAAGGTAATGAATTTTTTTCATAAACTTTTTGAAGTCCCTTCATATCTGTATCTACATAAAGATATATATGAGGATGTATCCAAAAAGAAATCAGAAATTTTTTCCCAAAGCTCTGTATTTAATTTTATTTAAAAACAAAACCACCTTATCACCTTCAAAGTACTCTCCATTACACTTAATACATTTGCAAAATCTGTGATTCCATTCGTGGAAGCATTGTTTCACAGTCATCTGTTTGGATGACTGACAGCCCCTCCCTCTTCTCCATCATCAAATCACTGTCCTTTCATGTCCCTCTGCATTCGTGGAAACAAAAAGAAGTCCATGGAGTGAGGTTAGGTGAGCAAGGTGTGTGGGACAAGAGAGGCATGCTGTTTTTTTGGTAAACACTGGTGCACTGAGATGGCTGCATGAGCAGGTGCATTGTTGTGGTGGCAAAACCAGTCCCACGTCTGCCACAAATCAGGCCTGTTTTGGGGTTGCACACTGTTACACTATCTTTTCAGAACCTCTAAGTAGAAAGCTTGATGAATAGTCTGACCTGGTGGAATGAACGCCAAATGTAATATGAGTTGACATTTTCATCCATTTGGGAAGTTGATGGACATCAGAACCAGGTTTGTCATCAATTGACATTTCACCTTTTTAGAAATGAGAAAATCACTTGTACACTTGAGTTTTTCCCATAGCATTGTCCTTGGAAGCTGTGTCCAACATCACAGCAGTTTCTGCAGCAGTTTTCCTGAGCACGAAACAAAATTTCACAGCCACACACTGTTCTCTTAAATTGGCCAACACACACACACACACACACACA